GTGTTGGAGCAAGAAAACCTCTAAAACATGCAGGATAGCGGCCCTCGAGGACAGGAGTTTGACACCCCTGCAATAGAGCATCTTTGGGATGTGGTGGAACGGGAGATTCGCATCATGGATGTGCAGCCGACAAATCTGCGGTAACTGTGTGATGTCATCATGTCAATATGGACCAAAATCTCTGAGGAATGCTTCCAGCACCTTGTTGAATCTATGCCACGAAGAATTGAGGCAGAAGGCAAAAGGGGGTCCAACCCGTTACTAGCGTGGTGTACCTAATAAAGTGGCCGGTGAGTGTATATCTAGAATAAGATTTGGACATACAGGATTAAATAGTACCCTTAAAATAATTAACAAACATAATACAGGGTGTTGTAATTATTGTGGAAAATTAGAAACAGTGCAACATATTTTCTTAGAATATAAACGAGAAAGAGAGGTTTTCCATAGAGAGTTAAGTAGAAATAAGAATAAATTAGATATTAGAAATTTGTTTCAAAGGTCATCAGGAGATGTAGTTTTTTATTGTATTTTAAAATTTCTGAGAAGAACCGGAGTTATGGAGAGGTTGTAGGCATCTGATCCATTCTCCAGTCTGGAAGGTGGCGGTAATGCACCTACAAGTTGTTTGCCAACCGCCATTAAACAAAAGAAGAAGAAACCGATGACTTCCTGTCAAGATGGCGCTGAGCAGAGGCTACAGGAGCGTGTGGAGGACATGTAGCGGGCTGGTCGCGCGGTACCCTCTCTGGTACGGCTCCGCGAGAGAACACGGCTCTGATAGCGGGCAGCTGATTCCTCGAACCTCGCTGAGCCGTCCTCCGTGGCCGGATCCGGTCCCCGTGTGTCCGGAGGAGGAGCGGCGCCGGCACGCGGAGGTGGTGAGCATCGTGCAGCAGCGGGTCCAGAGGCAGGACTTCGGCCGGCTCTTCGCCGTGGTGCACTTCGCCAGTCGCCAGTGGAAGGTGACCGATGAGGACCTGATCCTGATCGAAAACCACTTCGACGCGGAGTGCGGGGACCGGATCCGCATGGAGAAGGTGCTCCTGGTCGGGGCGCAGGACTTCACCCTGGTGGGCAGGCCTCTGCTGGGGAAGGACCTGGTCCGGGTCGAAGCCACCGTCATCGAGAAAACCGAGTCGTGGCCCAAAATACTCATGCGGTTCAGGAAAAGAAAACGGTACAAGCACCAAAAAACCATCATTCAGCCCCAGACTGTTCTGAGGATCAACACCATCCAGCTGTACCCTGGGCTCTGCTGACCGGACCGGACCGGACCGTCAGAGCCTGGTGTCTCATCAGTTTGTTCTGAGGATCAACACCATCCAGCTGTACCCTGGACTCTGCTGACCGGACCGGACCGGACCGGACCATCAGAGCCTGGTGTCTCATCAGTTTGTTCTGAGGGATCAACACCATCCAGCTGTACCCTGGGCTCTGCTGACCGGACCGGACCGGACCGTCAGAGCCTGGTGTCTCATCAGATTCTGAAGTGCTTCAGAGCACAAACAGTTTTCATTTGTCTGATCTTTAAATAAACCCACAGAAAGCAGAGCTGTGTGTCTGGTGTTCAATCATTAAACAGATAATTATGGAGTGTCGTTTGTAAAGTTAGAGTCAAAATTACCACAAATATTTCTGTTTTATTTAACTTTTTATAAAATAAAACAGATTTGTTTTTCAAAGTCAGTTTTTCACCATATGATTCATACATTTATAAATGT